GGTTTTTGTCCGGTGTGATGTTGGTTGCATCACTCGGTCGCAACAAGTTCAATAGATTCCAGCGCCATTCATGGTGGAATTTCATTGAAACTATATTTATGAATGCCGCGCGCGCTCCCCTTGCCTTTCTCTATCGATTCGGCCAGTCACTAGCCGCCCCCAGACTGCTCAATGTGGAATGAAAAAAGATTAAATGCTTCTTTAGCTCAGAAAAAAAGATATTGCTTTCAGGCTTGGATAAATGAGTCCAGAAAATTAATGTTTTGACTTTAAAATTGAATAAATTCTAAACAAATCAATATTTTTGCATGAATCTTTTAAAATATGAAAATATGGAATAAAATCTATCTGGGTTTAAATTTTTGCCTATTTTTGTTGGTTATTTATTGAGTTATAACGATTTTTAAATTTTAAAACAAAATTAAAGAAAAAATACTTTTTGTTTAGTTGAATCTTCAATAACTTTGGTTCTAATAAATATTTTCACATGAAATTTTTTAGTATGAAAACATAAGATTAAGTCTATCAAAATCTAAATTTATATCAATTTTTATAAATAATTTACTGAGTTATAAACATTTTAAAAATTTAAAAGATAAAATTAACAAAAATGTTAATTTTCTGATTTTGTTCTTAAATAACTCAGTTTCTAATAAATATTTTTAACTGAAATTTTGACATTCTGTAGCCAATTTATTAATCTATCGATGTTCCAAATTCTATTAATCTCCAACAATAATTACATAAGTTATCAACAATTTAAAAACTCCAGAAAATTTTCCATTTTACTAAATTTAAACTTTTATTACATGAATTCTACCCGATTTAGATTTGCGTTTTTTGAATACACAACTTGAATAAATATAGATTACCTTTGGAAGAAATATGTCGACGTCGATGACGATGACGATGACGCAAAGCGTACAGCGGCAGAAGAAAGAAAGATCTAGAAACGTAAACGAAACGAACGGAACGTGCAAAACGTTCGGCACGTTTCCCGAGCATCGCGGGACATTCCTCATTCCTCACCGCCCTCGCAGCTCATGCCGCCCCTCATCCCTTTGACGTCTCCTGGGCCTCCTGCTCGGTGAGCAGCTGGAGCAGCAGGAAGGGAAGAAGGAGTAAACGTGGCGTGCAGGCCTCGTGTGAGCTCGTGGCATTCGGTTGACCTCCTACTGCCTCGTATTTTTACTTCTACCAGGCGCGGCAATAAAATTAGATATATGTTAAGATTAACGATCTAAAACTAGAAAATAAAGGGTTTAGTATTTTTTATTTGAGGTTTTATTCTGTAGTAAATTTTGCATCAAATTTATTTTATTATAGAGTTGATGTATGTTTATATAAAGAATAAAATAAAAATTTTATAAAAAAAAATCAAAATAATTATTTAACAAGCAATAAATTGAAATAAAATTTGAAGAATTTTAGAATTAAATGTTGTTTATAATGGTGACTGTCTGAATCTTCGATTGAATACAAAAATAACTCAATAAAAACTTGTTATTGTCAAGATCGCAACGTTATGCCTCTAAGTGAACAGAAAAAGTGATGAAAAACATTCAATACACATTAAGAAAACGATTTATATTAAAATACTGTGTGTTTAAAAATAGCATGACAATTTATTCTTAGTTTGTATAAAAACCATAGACATTGCTTGTTTTATTTGGATAATCTAATATTAAGTATTCCTCTCGAGTTTGTTCGTAGATTCAAATAAAAAATAGTCCAATTAATTTTTTTCTTGTTCGATTGATCAATTGCGAACTGAATCTGTCAATAAAATTCTCAATTTTTATATAAAAAATAAGAATTGCAAATAATAATGCACTATAGAGTCATTGCAGTTTAAATTATTTTACTATTACTATGATTAATTCTCTATAACAACTTTTATTTTGAAATATTTATTTATAAAATTTTACGTGATTTTAACCCTTATTTTGAGTTAACATGTTTCGCCCTGAGGGCATGAGAGCAAATTTAAAACTGTAAAATCCAATAAAATCACGTAAAATTTTATAAATAAATATTTCAAAATATTACAATGGATTAACAAGTGAAAGTAATAAAACAACTTTTATGTTTTATTTTATTAAGATTTACTGTTTTACTTCAAGTTTTATTATTGCCACAGAAGTTTTTTTTAGTTTATTTTATATTTTAAAGATTATATCTACAACAAAATATGCCAATAATTAATTCTGTGGGTATTAAATATTCATAATAAATATTGTGACTACAAAAATAAATACAAATATTTCACGTCTAAGCAACTAAACATAAACAAACTCTGATAAATAACGGTTGGAATAATATTTGATAGCAGAGTATGAACAGTATTGAAATAAATTCAACGACCGGTTCAGGTAATGTTTCGTTCGTTCGTATCTGGTTTTTATTCTCTTGATAAGAAGCATATTCGAGATCTAAACAGCTTGACTTGATTTACGAGTATTTTGACAATAGAGTGCACTACGAGTACGATTCTTATTTATTATTCTCAGAACATCACAAAAATATCTTCCTTGCGTATTGACATAAATAATATAAACATAATATTTATAAATAATCTAAACCTAAATCAAAATATATTAATATATATTATTTTTAAATGAAAATATTTTAAATTTTTAAATAAGAATATTTATAATGTTTTAAATAAAATTTTAGGCTTTGTCGGCTTTAGTCTCTTATTCCTCATTGTATACTTAGGAAATAAATAAAACAAAAATTTGGAAAATTTCATTCATGAGCCGCTGAACCTGTTTTCCATTGGGGGCATCCCTTAGCCTTAGCATACTCGTACAGTCGCAGTTACAGCCGGGCTATAGAAGCCAACAGGTTAATAATTTATCGTCGGCTGCGTTTTTGTGCCGCCCACGCCTTTTCTGCAGATGTATTTACAAATATACAAACAGCTCTCAGATCATATTAATGCTAAATTTAAAAATAAACATTTTTTTCTCTTCTTCCGAAAGAAAATAACAATATGAAACAAAAATAAGGGTTATTATTAAACAATTTAACCTATAAACTTAATAAATCTAAATAAACATTACAAAATTAAACCATGTAACAAAAATCTTTTAAAATTTCACATTAAATAAAAAATATATAATTATTTCTACTTCCAGCTTTAAAACGCCAGTTTTGCACGGTTTTAGGCACAAAAATTGATATTTTGAATTCGGACGGCCAAGGCCATGATTAAAGTACTTTAATTACGGATCTTAGTCACAGGGCGGAGCTTGTGTCTGAGTGAAAGTAAAAAAAACATGTATTACACGTTTAACTCTAAAAAACTTAAAAAATATTCTCAGAAACAATCCAAACGAAAGAAAAAATCAATTTTTAAAATCTTTTAAAATTCCTCAAATTTAATTAAAAAAGAAATACCCTGTAGAGAAACAGATGAATGTGGTTGAAATCGAGGGCAACTTGTTAAGGAGGCTCAACACGTTCCCAAGCCCGCATCTTTCACAGGATACGCTCGATACGCCACCAACCTCACTCACAGCCTTACACCCCCGAAATCCACCCTTATTCCAGAAAAGCTGATATAGTGTATTACCGAACCTGGCGACTAGCCACTTTAATTACGCCCAGCATCCAGATATCACGCATCCCCCAAACCTTCCGCCTGCCAAACGGCGGCGAGTATCCGAATTGATTTCGAGTGTTGATAAATTGTTTCAGATTGCAAGGATTCGGGGCATGGCTGCGGGTGCTGATTAGACATTAAACGATTTGACCTTTCACCAGCCACAACATCCCCGAAAGGCACGATCAGTTTAAACCGGGTCAATACAATTTATTACTATTCAACACGTTGGGATAGGAATATAATCTAATAGAAATTCATAACCTCACATAAATTTAATTTTTATCTTCATTTTTACCGTTTTTTTACTTTAGTCACGGGCTTTAGTCACGGGGTGGAGTGACGCCTGCGCATTTACGCGTGGAAGTAAAAAAATGCGTAAGTAACACGTGACTAAACTGTGTTAAACACTCGATTTGATAAAACACTCGCTATTAATCAATCTCGTGACTAAAATCTCGTTTAGCGCACTTGATACTTAATAAAACATAAAATCTTAATTTTTTCTTTCTGGAAGAAAGTAAATTATATCATAATTCTTTTTGTAACATTCTGAATTCATCCTTTGTTACTCGTCGTTGTGCAACATGTGATACATGCGTCATCCCCCGTCATCCCATCATCCCCTTGGGTCCTAAACAAACAGAACGAAAAAGGAAGCGTCAGATGTTTCATTCCATGCGGAGAAAATACACTGCGCGTGAATTGCGTTCGGTGTTCGTTCCATCGCCTTCGGCTTAATGTTGCGGGGGGCTGGGGGGCGGCAGGGTGTCAAGGGGTGAGTAGAATGAGAAAGGTCGGTATTCGGCCGCAAGGCAGAAAATTACTCCCCGCGAAGTGAGCATACCAAGACCAAGTTCTAAACCACTCACGAAAACATCCCCTAAATTCCACCCCCGCGAGTTACCTGAGTTATAATCCGCTTAGCCTCTCTATCTCAGCGTATCATACATGCAATAAATTCAAAATTCTTAACAAATCTATAATATATATACATATATATTGAATATTACAATATACAGAGTGTTGTAGAAAATTAATAAAATTTAATATTGAAGGGTTGTGTTTTATGAAACGAAACAAAACGTGCGCGGATATTTAATCGACCAAGTGATCACGACTGGACGTTGAATGGCAGGCCGGGGCGCAAGAGCGTAGTAACAAAGTGGAGTGTGGAATCGGGGGCGGTTTGGTGGCGCGGCGGCGGCCGGGTGAGAACGCGCCGGCACGAGCGACCTGCTGGATTCGCAGCTGCGCGCCGCACACACACACTCCGGGAATACGAATACGAAAGAGTGAGACGAGGTGCGCATCCCCTCTGTGCCGCCCCCACTCGCGCGCCGCAGTCCCAGTTCGCGCCAACCGCCGCCAGTCAGTCTCATTTAGCGCTGCGACGAGCAAACACGCGCCCAGCGACAGAACGAATCGTTTTGTACGTAAATTCAATCAAAATATCGAAAACTACCCCTAAAAACTGAAAATCGCAATCAATCAGCAAACTCCGCACATATCACTTATAGTACCCTGTACTTTGTACTCAAATCAAAGCTTTTCATATCAGAAGAATAAATTGGGTTGTTTTTTTGGTTTTTGAGTCGTGTTTTTTGAGATTTTGCGAATTTTGTGAGAATAAAGCGCAGCACGATGAGCAAACGCAGCAGTCGAACCCTGTTGTTTTGTTGTCTCGTCAGCAATCTAAGCACCATTTAATTACGAGCACGCACGCACCTGTCGCACCCGCACCACTTTTTTCTGCACGATTTTAAGAACGCACCGCACCCCGCTGCACCCCACCAGCAAGCGAGAGCACCCTCAACGCACCCGGGCAACCGACGCACTTTCAAAGGTAAACAAATATTTTTTCATATTTTTTTTACAAAAAAACAAAATTTCACATAAATCATTTTTGTATACTTGAAATTTTATTAGTTTTGACATTTTGTAAATCCCTAGTAGATGAAAAACGTGTGCGAAATCCCAAGAACTAAGGACTATCGAAAGTCCTGGGAATAGTCCTTTTAGGACTTCGGCATTGTGCCGCGCGAGACGTGCCTTTTCAGCTTTTGTTCGCCACGAGAAGAGAAAAAAAAAACAGGAATATCCAGGGTTTACATAGAAAATAAAAAACCAAAAAACCAAAATCCCCGTCATAAAAAATATCCCTTATCATCTTACGTCGTTTCGTAATTTCATGGGTTATAAATTCACAACAAAAAATTTTATTTTATTTTATTTTGGATATTTTTTATTTTAAACATAAAATTTATGCTTGGTTTTGTTCATTGTACCATTTTGTGTATATTGGGTTGCGTGTATGTGAACGGTGGGTTGCCTACAGGCGACGTAAATCATTCTGTTTACTTCTTTACCAGAACAAACATACTTTTTATTTCCTTCGGCGCGACTGCACTTAACCGCGCCGCGCAATTATACAAAAATATGAGTATGAGCCCGCAGCAACCCCTAACATCGCCGTCATTACGGTTTTGCTTGTGACAGCCGCCCTCGGGTCTCATTTAGTATAAATCATCCCGGTCGACGGCGCGCTTTTTATTTCCAGCTGCGTGCGGCGGAAAAAACGGCACATTTTGCTCAATTACTCGCCAACTGGTTTAATTTAAAAAAATAAAACACTGCTTAGTTTGTTCGGGTTTTATTTGCAATTAACTGACAAGTCACTAATTGAGTTCAAATTTGACGCGTGTAAAGGCGAAGTTTATCGCGGGATCAGGGTGATAGGGCGAAATTACAACGTAAGTTTTAAATCGATGCGCGCGGAGATGAGAGTTAATGAGTTCTAACTTCATTAATATGCAGGCGAATGCTTCATTATGCTCTGTTGGGCGGAAAATTGAATAATTCGTCGGTTGGGGCGGTTTTCATTGTTACTTTCATCGTCTCAAGACATTGTCTGCTTTGTTCGCGTTGAAAACTTGAAGAAAAGTTCAGTTTAATCGCTAGTCAACAAATTGCCGTTCAAGTGATAGATTAGGTTAAAGTTAATGATGTAGGCAACACAAGCAACATGTATATTTAGTTGCATAGCATAAAGATTTAAGAAATTTAAAATTGTTTGTTTGTGACGCTTTTACACAAAATCCATTGGAGCAATTTTGATAAATTTTTGTATAAACATAGTTTTTATCAAGGAAAAGCAAATAGGCAACTTTTTGTACCCAAAAATTAACTTAAAAAGTAAAAAATAAGGAATTGAAGTTAATATAGACTATTGATCATAATTATTGTTATATAATTCAAATACAGATGGCGCAAAAGCATTTTTGAAGTCCTTAAAATTTAAATTTAAATTAACAACGTTATAACCTATCTACAATGACATGTAATAACATGTAATATGAGTTGCCTACAATTAAAATTTCATTTTAATCATTTCATCTGCTTTTTAATGCATACATGTGCAAATCCATTCGCGAATATAAATTAGCACACAGTTAATTGCGTATCTTCACGGGTTCACGCCCGAGAGCATCACCGTAATCCGTTTAATCCGGTGCGGGGGCGCCGCCATTGTTTCGCGCACACTATCGGAAATTTCAACGAATCCACGAAACGCGCGCGTAGAAATTTGCGATCTGTGACAGTGGCGACGTTGCGCCAGTGCGGAATGCGCTCGCCTAATGAAAGCTCACGATAGCTCGCATTGTTCGCATTCATTCACATTCATTCATTCATTCACATTCATTGTAGTAGTTTGCAATGCAGAGCATTGTGCATTCCGGCCGAAGTGTGTTCCGAAACGTGCAACAATTGTCTTCATTTACTTCGAGAGTGGACATGTTGACATTGCGATATTGCAATGGGGAGACAAAGCAACTTGTTGACATGTGTTGTTTTGACAGGCTAACAAATTATCCTGGATGGTTTGAATTGGAAGTTTTGAATATGTTTGCAATAAATTTCAGAGCGCGATTTGGAGTGACAGTCACATTGGTTGAGAATAAATTATTTTGGCTTGCATTCTTAGGTTATAATTTAGGTTATGTATTTCATAGCTACTATGTTCGTGAGATGCAGAATTAATTTATTTTTGACATAGTATTAACAAGAATTTAAAATTGTGTGTTTTAAGGGTGTTTAATTGCTTTAAATTCAGATTTAAGCATCAAAATTTTTGTTTAAAAATATGAATTTCTAGTTTTTTCTTTTTTTAATTGTAATTTTAGATTTAATTAAATTAAACTTTGTATAGAGTTATGCAAGGTCCGTTCAGTTTTATTCCGAATTTATCAGAAATTATCTAACTAAAATTCAACATTAAACCAATTTTAATACATTTTGAAATAAAAATACTTTTTGCCAAAGAAAATCATGTAGGCGACATTTTGTTGCAAACATAACCTGTATACGTAACCTGCAAACTTCCAGGGTGTAAAATATGATGAATGATGATGAATGGCATGACGATGCTCCAAAATTTGAAGAATTGTATCGGTTACCACGAAACTTTCTTACTCATTTTTGCCATCGCTGAATGACAAGTAAAATTCGCCGAAATAAATTCTAACATAATTTTTGAGATTTATTCTGTTTTTTTTTTTTTTGTTAGAATTTTATGTTTTGTACAATTTTTTTTGTCTTCATTTTAACATAAAAGTGCCTTTTGTGAAACAGGTAAAGTAGTTTACTTTCTTTAGCAAAAAAAAACTTATTACCTATCTTCAATATTTTCCTGTGATAAAATAAACTTTATTTGTAGTCAGTTTGTTAGGAGTACTTTAAAAAATCTTGCTGAAGTTTACGGACGTCAGAACTTATTGATGAGGCTTCGTGTTATACCTGAAAGTACTAAACTTTAAAATTGAAAACGTTGATGTTCATCACAATACGTTACGAGTATATAGCATAATATTCGCAGTGCAAACATATTATTATGTAAAAGAAAAAATAATAAGTCTTGATTTTTTGTGATCAAATTAACAATCATTCAAGCCTTTAACTATTTTTTTTTTCAACTGTGAAATGCAAATACTAGATTTTGTGTATTTTTATTTGTATTTCCAGGATAAATTTTATTTTAAGCAAATTAAAAATAGCTGAGTTATTGCCAATTCTATTTGCCTACATTCCGTGAGCAATCAATATGTAAAACAGGAACTTCAAATAAAAATATCTCCTGGTATTATATAAATATTGAAATAATATGAACATGAGATAATAAAATTACTTTTAATAAAATAATGTTTAAATTCCGCATAATTTAATCACAAAATTATTTCGTTACAGTTAATTTAATTTAAATAAATTAAATTTTGCCATAAACATTAAATTTTGTAAAGAAAATACCAGTTCTAGTAAAGATACCTGAAAAAATTTAAAAACCAAACTTTAAAGCAATTAAATAATCAATTACTTTCGTAATTTTTGTTATGATTAAAGTAAAATTGCTGGTGTTATCATCAATTTTGTTGAAATTTTGAATCAAACAACCAACAATACATATACGAGTATTAACTTCAATCGTAATTTCCTCTAACAATAATGAAATTGGATTTTTGCATAGTTTTGACATTTTATACATTTTATTTTAATATTTTGTAAAAGTTTTGGTTTTTGGCGATAATATTTAAATTATTCATTATAAAAGAAAAAGCCATTTTTCAAACAAACACGCAGCTTCACTTCGTGCATGTGACATCCTCGTGCATATTATATTTCAAAGTTCACGTGAAATTTAAAAAAAATACACACAAAAACCCAAATAAACGTGCCGGCAAGTACCTACTATGCACAATGACGTCAAACCTATCCCATCACATTTCACATCACGTGACTTACTCACAATTTTATTACAGTCTATTTTATTTCATTAATAATTTCAGAATAATTTACTAAAACAAAGTTTGAATATTTTCCTTAATAAAATAATTAATTAACTACATTTGCATCCAAATAAATACAATTTTAATAACAAACCTAATAAAAACTTCCTAGAAAAAATAAATATTCCATATTTCATATAATTAAATCAAAACCCGAATCGAGTTATAAACTATCCAAATACATTACTTTCCATTATAGGGAAACCGTGTTTTATGAAATCAAACTCCAAAGTTTACCGAATCCATTAATAACTATGCACAGATTGCGTGGGCGTAATGCCTACGCTTAAACATAGGGGCAAAATTAGCGCACCGATCGAGTATGGGGGCTGTGCAGCCACATCAAAGCCCAAACTGTGTCCCGTATTTGTGCCGCTCATTAGTGCAGCTCCATTTTGCGCCGCCACGACAACCCAACCTCACCTACACCAACCTCAAAACATTCCGAAATTCCAACCTGGAGCGCGGAGGCGCAAATGTGTCGGAGGCGGGGGCGGCTGTTCGCTTTGTAAATGTTTCGCGCTTGCGAGCACACCGCGCTACCTATCTGTTTAATTTCGCAATCAATATCGACACAGCCATTAACCCGCAACCCATTTCGAATTACGCTGCGGAGGCTGAACGAATCAGTGCGCACATTAATTATTCCAAGCGAATTGTGTGCACATAACTTAATATATTATTTAATTGTCGATTTTGTTATTAGTATAAGTTTTATATGCATAAAACATCATTTTGTTAGTTACACCTTGTATAACTCAAGAACCGCTGGATGGATTTTTATGATTTTTTGTTTTTAGATTTATCTTTATCTGGAATAAAATAATAAATAATAAAATATCAAAAATAATTATTTACAGGGTGTTAAATTAAATAATAAAAATTTAAATTAAAAAAGTTTTTTATTTCTTCAGTTAATATTAAATATTTCTAATCATTGTCATTGATACATCTTTAATTAACAAAGCGTCTACTTGTAGCTGAGCTGCTTTGGTGAATTATGCTAAAAGCTGTCAAACTTTTTTCATGCGCTCGACTCGTCCTAATCCCCAATAATTCGCGTGGGCTTTGCGCCGACGTCGTTGTTTACCGCCCCGCATGCCGCGTGCGATGCATTAATTTGCCGAGCAGTCGAGGTATGCGAGGCTTTCAAACTTCGCTCGAACGCTTTTTATGAAGAAAAAGCTCTCGAGAGAGGGAAAAAATGAGGAGATTCGCTTTAATTCACTTTCCAGCGAAGTTTTTCTGCGTATCGGAACGGATCTCAACGAATCACATTTTGCATTCTTCACAATATTATGTTTTATGTTTTGTTTAACAGGATGATCACAAATAAAAACAGAATTGCGAAATATTATGCTTTTTTTATTACTTTTTTAAAGGAAACAAGTTATTTTGGTTGCATACAGTGTATAATCAATTTGTTTTTTAGTTTTAATTTAATAAACGACTATTTATAAGCAATTTTATTAAAGAAAATATATAAATAAACGTAAAATTTAATTGTTTATCAATTAAAAATACACAAATGTTTTGTTTTTTGGTTTAAAACATAAAAAACAAACTTTTTCCTTTATTTCAAGTATAGGCAACCAAAATAACATTGTATAAAGTGTTGTATAACTTATTTATAGATTTATTTTTCTATTTTTGATTTTTAGATGCAAATAAACTCATTGACGCGCAGTTTCGTCCTCTTCTGGTTGTTCTGCCACCATCAGACGACGTCATTCAACGTGCCGCGCACAAATGACTACCGGCAGGCGAACACCGGCGAGGTGATCACCACCAGCACGAAGGAGGCGGCCGCCAACCCCGAGCCGAGCTGCGAGGAGCTCAAACAAATGTGGCGCTTCTCCAAGCGACAATCACGCGCCGCCGAGATCACCAACGAGATACCAACTTACCGCGACCCATTCTCGTTGAATGTCTGGGAACCATACGCTGCGGCACGGTCACGCAGCATAGGCGGGTACGATCAAAACAAAACGAATAGCATTCAAACCTAACCTCATTTAACCTAACTTTCTGTATTGGATTAGAATGCGAATAGGGTATCGTGGTCGTCCAGTCTACGGCCGTGTCGTACACAAAGCGCCCCTCCTCCGCATTCAGGACGTGGCTGAGCGCAACCGCGCGTTTGAAGAGGTCGCACGCTTGTACGGCTCAGTACAAAAGCATCAGGAACCTCGACGGCGGCAACAAACCGCCTTCCGGTTCACAGGCGGAGATAGAGTTATGCACCACCCGATGGGCGTGGCACCACAGGCGGGCAGTTTTCAACATCTGAAGGAATTAATTCAAACGGAACGTGCTCGTGAACTGCGTGAACAACGACGCGCTGAAGAAGCAGCTGCGCGGAACGAGGCTTTGAAGGAACTTGCAAGGAACCAACATCGTGCTCAGCTGTATGTACATAACCTCAATTTTAAGAAAATTATGAATTTTTATGTTTTTTGCTTCTTTTTGAAGAAATAACTACCGTGACGCATACAATTATGAACTGGCAAGTGACCAAGAGGAACCAGAGGTGGCGCAGCAAGAAAATAAGGCGATTTTGGCATTTCCCGATTTGCTTGCGCCAGCGGCGCGCTTCGGCCCCGGGCCCAACGAGGCGCGTCTAATCGAGGACTACAGCTACTTCCGAGATCGACCCAGAAATCAGCGGTCGTACTTTCAGCCGAGTTCCTTTGAGGTAAGCTTCCACATTTTAATAACGCGACCTTATTCATTCCGGCCTGCAACCAAATTGCAATTTCATCTCATTCACTTCGCTCGACTGAATAACTTTCCACTCGAAATGGATTTCGCAAAAGCGTCAACTTCCCGGAAGTCAATTTTTAGTCTTTCAATGCGGAATTTAATAAAATCTCTCTCGTTAAAATATTCACATCCCAAAGCTACCGCATTACAAACAAGTAATTTGGGTTGCATATATTTTATAGAAAGAAATGATGTATTTTGACAGACAAGGCGTTTGGGTTGCATACATTGTATTATAAATATGTTTTGTGTTTGTTTTTAGAATAACGTGGATGCTTTAGACGGTTTTATGCTTTAAGCGTCGAAACATTTCTCCAAGTTATCTTCTCCTTCTCCTCGACTGTGCGGAGATTTCTTCACAGCGTATGTGTTTCCAAACAAAGAAAAACAAACAAAAGCAAGTAAACAAACACAAACAATTGATAATCTGCGTCTCAACGGTACCAGAAACCAAAATGTACCGGCTTTCAGCGCTTTCTAACTAAAATTGAATAAAATAGATGTTAAACTTAATCATATCAGAGCAAACTTTTAGAGAAACAAAACGTTATTCTAAGCTTATGACGACTTAACAATGTTAAAATGGCGGATGTGGTAGACACAAAATGGCGGATTAAGATATTTAATAAGTGCTAATGCTGAAGGGGTTACAGTTGAGGTTAAGTCATACGTATTTGACATTTCGAATGTAAATTAATGTTTGCATTGACAAATTTAATAACGAATTGTGTTTGTACGGCTGGCACAAATACAATTTCAGCAATTGATGAAGAAAACTATTATTTATGAGCCCATTATATGAATATTTCGTGCAAAATATTAATTAACATTCTGAAACGTGGACAAATCGATGGGAAATTGACTGAAATTGACAATAGACACACAAATATTAATGAAAACACATGTAAAAGTTGAAATATCAGGATTAGCTCAGGATTTACTACAAAAGAATTTAACCATAACCATAACCATAAAACGTCACAAAAAAATTAAAATTTTGAGGTTACAATCAAATACACATGAAGTGATAATTCTCATTTCGATTTCGCGACGTGTACAATCAGATCGATCGAAAAAATGGCAAAGTATGAGTATTTAAATCGAATTCTTCCAAAAAATGAAAAAACATTAATTCTTGACGCGACAATATCACGAATGACAATATTCCTATATCAGCGCCCAACACACACACAAAACATGTGTACGAATATATTTTATCTAAAGAGATGACAAAACTATACGCGTAACATAACCTATCATAAATATATATACATATTCTAACCTAAAACCTAACCTAAATTGTATTTACACTCGTAGCACACCAAGAAATGGTTAGAGGTATATATTTTCGAAATGTTTGTATATACAATATCATTGTGACACAGCTACAAAAGTTTCTAACCTCAATTCACTTTGTTTCACTGTTACTGTGCATATAAAATATATAACAGGGTCGCTTTTGCACATTTATTCGTTTCTGACAGCTGTCAACATTTATCATATGCAACTTGTTGTACATATCAATAAAAACACTTGAATTGCATTCGTTTCAAACGATTTTGTTCTGTGTCAAGATAATAAAACTAAATAATTCGATAGATAAATATAAATGTGTAGGAAGTAAATGACAATAATATTGTAGTCAATTGCAAAAACAACAAAATATAAACGCAGTCAATACACTAATGAGAAATAAAATTCTAGACGCCAATTTTATGAGTAATATTTACATGCGCGGTGTTGGATGGGATGGCGGCGCGCGTCGAACGCACGTCATTACAGGGCCAATGCGTGTGCTCGACGCGAGCGCCATCTGCCGGCGGATAGCTGCAGACAAAAAAAAAAAATAAAAAATGTAATGTGTAGTGTCGTAAGTGTGACAGTTGACAATAAACGCTGACAAAATATTCTTACGCTAAGCGATGATGACCTTGTGGGCAAATATTCAATGACAAACGACGATGAATTTCGATAATTTTGGTTATGAAATAATATGCAACACACAAATCTATTTGATCTTGAATTTTTCTGTGATGTCGACAATATATATCTCAAATGTTGGTTATGTCGTGATTTTAATGAGATGACATGATGCAGTTATGTGTATGGGGGATCTCGTGCTAATGAAGCGGAGATAAAAAGTTGAATATCAATTAGACGATGAAGAATGATCAGTAATTTTATTGTGAGACTTGATGACAATGATTACATAAATGAGATATAGAGAACGTATATAAAATATATAAAATATTGTTTTATATTCATGTAAATAAAATATTTGTATGTACCTACACACTAAAACACACATTATACCTAATGATATATTGAATATTCAGAATAAATTCAATCCCTGCAAGCAAACCGGTGTGATTTTTGAAAATATAAATGTTTAGTGTATATCCTGTATATTTTTGATTTTAATTTTAATTTTCAGTTCTTTCAAATTATTTATTTGTGCCGTCTTAAAGCATTACTAAATTCAGCTTGTACATGTTTACTCGTAGTGTAAATACTTTCGTTTTGTTCTCGGCGCGCTTATCAGTGTTTGTGTCTAAACCAGTTTTTTCGCGATGCACCGCGTGAATTTAGCCTGCTGCGTTCGCGTCTCTTGCCAGTTTGATTCGGTCCGCCAGCGTGCTCAACCGCGTTTCTCGCGGCTCGCGTGTTTCTCACATTTTTACGCCGGATAATCGGATCATGTTTCACATGTTTCACTTGTGTTTTGCTATAAGTTGAATATTTTGTTTTGCATATAACGCGCTCGTTGAATGATCGTTACACGAAAATTAACATTTTTTTGATATTAGTGCCGGTGACTACCTGTTATCAACTGATTGGAGTACATCGCAATTGAAGAAATTGTGACTTTTCACCGGATTCCTTCTATTCATTGATGTGAAATGCAATATTATGGTGAGTTTCCAATTATATATTGTATTGTAGTTATTATAAATCTATTTGCGTATATTTTGCACGCTGGAAATGATATTGTATTCTTCTATACGGGTGACACTGATAAGCGTCTCACAAAGTATTGAATAAAATGGGCAAAAATTGCAAAATGTCACTTTTAGCACTTTTAGTCGCGTTTTTCGACCTTTTACTGTAGGAAATATAATTATTTTATATTTTTATCTGATAGAGAATTTTCCCATCTTTCATAATCAACAATTCGTTGGTAGCAATCTCTTTTAATTTAAGAGATATGAATTTTTGAAAATCGTCGAAAAAAAGTATCAAGCACCCCCCCTTGGCGATTTTTTTCTTAAGACTTAAAATTTTATCTCTCAGATTTCCCTTTTACTATCCTATCTGATAGAGATTGGTTCGTAGATTAAGACGCTGCGATCAGATCTTATTTATCTCTTTTAGTTTACGAGATATTCGCGATTGAATAAAATGGGCAAAAATTGCAAAATGTCACTTTTTAGCACTTTTAGTCGCGTTTTTCGACCTTTTACTGTAGGAAATATAAGTATTTTATATTTTAATCTGTTAGAGAATTTTCCCATCTTTCATAATCAACAATTCGTTGGTAGCTATCTCTTTTAATTTAAGAGATATGAATTTTTGAAAATCGTCGAAAAAAAGTATCAAGCACCCCCCCTTGGCGATTTTTTTCTTAAGACTTAAAATTTTATCTCTCAGATTTCCCTTTTAACTATCCTATCTGATAGAGATTGGTTCGTAGATTAAGACGCTGCGATCAGATCTTTATTATCTCTTTTAGTTTACGAGATATTCGCGATTGAATAAAATGGGCAAAAAAAATTGCAAAATGTCACTTTTAGCACTTTTAGTCGCGTTTTTCGACCTTTTACTGTAGGAAATATAATTATTTTATATTTTTATCTGATAGAGAATTTTCCCATCTTTCATAATCAACAATTCGTTGGTAGCTATCTCTTTTAGTTTAAGAGCTATTAATTTTTGAAAATCGTCGAAAAAAAGTATCAAGCACCCCCCCTTGGCGATTTTTTTCTTAAGACTTAAAATTTTATCTCTCAGATTTCCCTTTTAACTATCCTATCTGATGGAGATTGGTTCGTAGATTAAGACGCTGCGATCAGATCTTATTTATCTCTTTTAGTTTACGAGATATTCGCGATTGAATAAAATGGGCAAAAATTGCAAAATGTCACTTTTAGCACTTTTAGTCGCGTTTTTCGACCTTTTACTGTAGGAAATATAAGTATTTTATATTTTAATCTGTTAGAGAATTTTCCCATCTTTCATAATCAACAATTCGTTGGTAGCTATCTTAAAATTTTATCTTTTAATTTAAGAGATATGAATTTTTGAAAATCGTTTCAAGCACCCCCTTGGCGATTTTTTCTTAAGACTTTAAGAGATATGAATTTTATTTATCTCTTTTAGAAAATCGTCGAAAAATTTTATATTTTTATCTGATAGAGAATTTTCCCATCTTTCATAATCAACAATTCGTATCAAGCACCCCCCCTTGGCGATTTTTTCTTAAGACTTAAAATTTTATCTCTCAGATTTTTTCTTAAGACTTAAAATTTTATCTCTCAGATTTCCTTTTAACTATCCTATCTGATAGAGATTGGTTCGTAGATTAAGACGCTGCGATCAGATCTTATTTATCTCTTTTAGTTTACGAGATATTCGCGATTGAATAAAATGGGCAAAAATTGCAAAATGTCACTTTTTAGCACTTTTAGTCGCGTTTTTCGACCTTTTACTGTAGGAAATATAATTATTTTATATTTTTATCTGATAGAGAATTTTCCCATCTTTCATAATCAACAATTCGTTGGTAGCAATCTCTTTTAATTTAAGAGATATGAATTTTTGAAAATCGTCGAAAAAAAGTATCAAGCACCCCCCCTTGGCGATTTTTTTCTTAAGACTTAAAATTTTATCTCTCAGATTTCCCTTTTAACTATCCTATCTGATAGAGATTGGTTCGTAGATTAAGACGCTGCGATCAGATCTTATTTATCTCTTTTAGTTTACGAGATATTCGCGATTGAATAAAATGGGCAAAAATTGCAAAATGTCACTTTTTAGCACTTTTAGTCGCGTTTTTCGACCTTTTACTGTAGGAAATATAATTATTTTATATTTTTATCTGATAGAGAATTTTCCCATCTTTCATAATCAACAATTCGTTGGTAGCAATCTCTTTTAATTTAAGAGATATGAATTTTTGAAAATCGTCGAAAAAAAGTATCAAGCACCCCCCTTGGCGATTTTTTTCTTAAGACTTAAAATTTTATCTCTCAGATTTCCCTTTTAACTATCCTATCTGATGGAGATTGGTTCGTAGATTAAGACGCTGCGATCAGATCTTATTTTTCTCTTTTAGTTTACGAGATATTCGCGATTGAAGAAAATCTGATAGAGATTGGTTTTCGTAGATTTTATTGTTTTATTACTTTTAGTAATATAAATTCTAGGACTGGTACCTGTTTCATTTAGAGATGACACTTGCATGAAGTCATAAAAATGCGTTGTATTGTTTATTTCTATATTTATCAACAAATGTGTGGATTCGGCACGAGAATTGTGTTTGTTTTGAACACAACTTACACTTTCTTATCGCATTCGCCGCGCGGAATGAAATTTCCGAGTGTCGTTTTTGCAATCTTTGCATACCGCATGCAGCATATTCTTGTTTTGTTTAGACCGCAAGTATCGTGCCCATTGCAATTCGTGCAGAAGATCGCGTGGTTTCGACGCGCCGGCTTTGCGCATCTATTGCTTTTACCTGCCGGGTTCATGCAGCAGGTGCAGTGCATTCAATTGTCGCATCATTGCTTGTGCAGTTTCGGTAAGCGCTATCGATAGATTGCAGCCAGTTTCGTGCCGGTCCCTGGCGTATCCAGACGTATTCCGTGCAACGCGTATCGTTTTATCGGATTTCTATTTTATTAGTTTGCATTATATTCGGTCCTCAATGGACTTACTTGTAATATGCTTCTGCAGTGTATTGTATTTTGATTAATTGTGCGTTTAATGTTCATATTTTAAATTACAACGCTACGGTTTTATTGTCGGTTATTGTGTGACGTGGTCGATCGCTAGATCAACCGGAAACATATTCGTGCTTGGGTAAGTAAATTTTATCTGACCATTGCGATACTCAGCACAGAAAGTTTGTTTTCCGTTGTATAAAATGGTTTTGTTTTAAATTATGTGTGGCATTGTTGAGGCACTTACCGGATGAAACTCTATAATTATCGTAAAATAAAAGAATTTAACGTTTATGTTTTCTTTTCATTGCAGTACTTGCCGTACCCTTGCAATCCGATGAGCGCTGCATTGGTAAGTTTATAATTAAGTTATATTATTCGGTTTAATTTTTATTACATTTCACCTGCGTGTTGCAATAGCCCGCGGGGGGCCGTATATATTTAACTTAATGGTAATATAGAACACTGATCATATTGCGGGAAATGTTCAAATTTTTCATAGGATAACACTAAAGGTATTTTTTAAACTTTTTTTGTTGATTTAGTTGAGTTACATTCGGTGTACCGTAGAAGGGTGGCGATATATGTGACTCGTGTTTAGGGCACAGTATAAGGGTGCCGGTGAAAACGACTCACATTCAGGGCACCGTACGAGGTCAGTGGTAGAAGTGACTCGTGTTCGGTCACCTTACGTGGATGCATCTATAGCTGACTCATTCGTCCGCGTTTTCTTTAGCAGACGAACGCCATGTCGTAGGATAACCGTTCTTTCACCAAATTATAGATATTTAAATTCTTTTTAATCCTCATGTATAATTTGTGGGTTTATCCCTTGGGAAACCTACAAAATTGCCCTTTTATGTTTTTGTGTGGTTTTAGTGTTTAGCGGGCGAACGCCATGTCGTAGGATAACCGTTCTTTCACCAAATTATAGATATTTAAATTCTTTTTAATCCTCATGTATAATTTGTGGGTTTATCCCTTGGGAAACCTTCAAAAATGCCCTTTTTGTGTTTTTTGGTTGTTGAATTTTTTGGTTTTTAGTGTTTAGCGGGCGAACGCCATGTCGTAGGACAACCGTTGTTTCATCAAATAATAGATTTTTAAATTATTTATAATTCTCATACATAATTTGTGGGTTTATCCCCCGGGAAACCTACAAAAATGCCCTTTTTATGTTTTTCGGTCGGCTAATATTGTGGTTTTTAGTGTTTAACGGGCGCACGCCTTGTCGTAGGATAACCGTTCTTTCACCACATTATAGATATTTAAATTCTTTTTAATTCTCATGTATAATTTGTGGGTTTATCCCTCGGGAAACCTACAAAAAATGTCTTTTGGGTTTTTTGGTCGTCGAATTTTTTTTTTGTGTTTAGCGGGCGAACGCCTTGTCGTAGGATAACCGTTCTTTCACCAAATTAT